ACCTGCTCAGTCCATTCCCCACACCCTCACCCACCCCAGCTCCCCAGAACCAGCTCAGTCCATTCCCCACACCCTCACCCACCCCAGCTCCCCAGAGCCTGCTCAGCTCATTCCCCACACCCTCACCTGCCCCAGCTTCCCAGAACCTGCTCAGTCCATTCCCTACACCCTCACCCACCCCAGCTCCCCAGAACTTGCTCAGTCCATTCCCTACACCCTCACCTGCCCCAGCTCCCCAGAACCTGCTCACTCCATTCCCTACACCCTCACCCACCCCAGCTCCCCAGAACTTGCTCAGTCCATTCCCAACAACCTCACCTGCCCCAGCTCCCCAGTATCTGCTCAGTCCATTTTCCACACCCTCACCCGCCCCAGCTCCCCAGAACCTGCACAGTCCATTCCCCACACCCTCGCCCACCCTAGCTCCCCAGTACCTGCTCAGTTCATTCCCCACACCCTCACTTGCCCCAGCTCCCCAGTACCTGCTCAGTCCATTCCCCACACCCTCATGCACCCCAGCTCCCAGTTCTTGCTCAGTGCATTCCCCACACCCTCACCTACCCCAGCTCCCCAGTACCTTCTCAGTCCATTCCCCAAAACCTCACCTGCCCCAGCTCTCCAGTACCTGCTCAGTTCATTCCCCACACGCTCACCCACCCCAGCTCCCAGTTCTTGCTCAGTGCATTCCCCACACCCTCATGCACCCCAGCTCCCCAGAACCTGCTCAGTCCATTCTCCACACCCTCACCTGCCCCAGCTCCCCAGAACCTGCTCAGTCCATTCTCCACACCCTCACCTGCCCCAGCTCCCCAGGACCTGCTCAGTCCATTCCCCACACCCTCGCCCGCCCCAGCTCCCCAGAACCTGCTCAGTCCATTCCCCACACCCTCACCCACCCCAGTTCCCCAGTACCTGCTTAGTCCATTCCCAACAACCTCACCTGCCCCAGCTTCCAGTTCTTGCTCAGTCCATTCCCCACACCCTCATGCACCTCAGCTCCCCAGAACCTGCTCAGTCCATTCCCTACACCCTCACCCACCCCAGCTCCCCAGAAC